CAACTTAGGAAAGAGGAGCCTTTCAGGAGGATGTAAATTCATTCCTCCACATCCAGCTCTCTTAATGAACCTGTACTAAGACAAGTGTCCATTTGAACTTCTAAATAAACTCAGGTTTACATATGCACAAAAATGACGCATCATACAAAATATCTAAAAAGGCGTGTCCTGTCATTTTCTTCTCACTGTCCCTTGAAAGAGAAGGCTGCAATGTGAAAACAGAAGTAAAACTGAGCTATATTCCACTAATATGTGCACCCTGAACTATGTCTCTTTTTCAGAGTACAAACAAAACTTCCTATTTTTCAATACATAACCCTATGGGTTTGCCTCTCTTTATTCCTCTCCATCTAAATGTATGCACGTATTTTTTTTTCCCAAGGTTTCATTTCTCACCTTTGAAACAACCCTCTAATGTCAGAACACATTTTCAACTCAATAAAAAATAAATCAGAGAAAAGTAAAACTCTTTGAAAGTCATTTCCCTCTACCTTAGTGCATGTTTTAGTCCTGGTTGAAAAGCAAGCCCAGAGCATTTAAAACAAGATTTATGAATCAGGCTCTTTAGGATTAATGTTTTGCAATGTGCCAGTAGTTAAAAATTAACTCTGACAGGTGTAGGAGGGCAGGGGGGAGAAAGAGCCATTTATTTTCCACTCTGGACTTGAGGGTGCAATATCAGGCTTCAATTATGCTACATTAATATTTCTGAATGTATCCATGAAATCTGAAATATGTAAATACACTTATAATGGGCTCCATTCAAAGGCACCCCATGTTAAACAGTCCTGTTTTTACCTTAGCCGCACTATAGCAATCTACCTTAGTTACCTAAGTATTAATAGGGTAGACATAACACAATGATTCAAGAAAACCTGCTGTTCAACTTTAAATATGTTTACGACTTTTAGTAACAAAAGGACCAGGACTTACTCCATGCTTAACCCCCTCAAACCCTACTTTCCCTCCATAAGGGGAGAATCCTTGCTTTGCAGGTTTGCTGGATGCATTACATGACTTGGTATGTAAAAGTTCTCTGAAGGTTGAGACGTTTATCATATAATACAGTTCATTTGGATGATTCTCATTCTGTGCCCTGTTCTATGCTATGAAGAGCTCAAAAGGAGAAGCGGCCTTTTCCTTTGAGCAATGTGGTTGAGCAGATGAGAGCAGTTAAGGGTAAGAGGACAAGGGGCTTTGGGGCAGAAACACACTGACAGGTTGGCAACCTGCTGTGGGGAGGACCCACTTGAACACAGACAGAGCGGATGGCACTGTCTGCAGCCGCTGTGTACAGATGTACATTTTGCGCACTGGGTAAAAGGCACCTGGGCAAAGTGGCAGGAGGAGCTGGTAATACAATTCAGGCCCCGCTATGCACCACACCACACAGAGAGGAAAGGGCATCATACAAGGGCACCTTCCTGCCTCTAAGCGCGCACCCAAGAGGCGGCCAGCTACCCAGTGAGTATCTTTCACATTCGCATTAAAGCCCCTGCGGGCTCCCAGGGCCCAGCCTCTGCTGGCTGGGAATGCGGGGTCTGCGGGGACAATGGCCTCACAGGATCCAGACAGCACTCACCAGCAATGGTGGAGTCGGAGCTGCAGGGCGAGGCGGGCTCTGGCAGGGCCTTGAAAAGCTGGAGTTGATGCAACAGACAGTAGAGGCATACTACCAGGTCATGAGCTTCAGTACCTAGCACCTCATTTAGTTCTCACAACCACCCCAGGACAGAGGCATTATTCCAATTTCACAGACCGGAAAACAGTTTGGAAAGGTTGAGTTACTTGATAACAAACTTGGCAAGTAAGTAGGAAGAGCTGAAATTCAAACCCAGTTCTATTTAACTCACAAGGTTCTTTCCACTGCATCAACCGACAGAGGGAGTGATTCGGAGCCTTCTCCCAAAAGTTATAAAAATTGCATGTGGCTCTTTACTATAGGTGATCCAGAGGTGCAAATTCCACATACGCTTAGTTTATTACTTGCTGGAGACTTCAGAGGACTGGCGACGGGACACTAAAAACAGCACCATCGCTCATGAATGTTCCAAAATCCCAGGCGGCAGGGGCAGCGGACGGGGCGGCGGCTGGGAGTCTTCCCGCAGACCCAGCTCTGGCAGCCGTGGGCTGGGGGACGCCGTCTGAAACCCTGAGTTAGCCTCTGCTGGTTCCACTTTCTTCATGCGCACACAAAGAGCTGGACGTGGTTTTCAACTCTAGGTGTGATGCTTTTTATGATACTGTCACTGAAAATATTTCCTGCTCTTTAGAATCTGATAAAAATGTCAAGCCATTATTTTTGTACTTTGCAATTTATCTTGAATAAATCTTTGAAACTCCTTGGACTGAAAACCTATTTCTCCTTCCCCTATTCAAATTGCACCTGTTATTCAAAGCCCATTTCAAGTCTTATTTTTTCTATGAGCTTTTTTTGTCTACTCAATTACCCGAAAAGAGCCCCAGTCACATCCCTGAAATTATTTTTGTGCTTACGGTACCTGCCCTCCCATCTAGGATGTAGTTAGGCACCATGTGCTGCTAATGGGTCCCATTCAAACTGGCACTGTGCCTCAGTCGTCACCAGTTTGTCTATCTGTGCAAGTCCTCACGGGTAGAAGCTGGCAAAGAGATCTCTCTGCCCCATAATAGTCTTGCTACCCCCTCCCACAAATACCATTCGTGTTCATGTGTTCATTTCCATGCACAGTAATAAAGTTATTGCAAGCAAATGATTTATGACCGTTTATGGAGATGCTGGGTGTTGTGCTTCCAGAGCCCTGTGGGCCCAGCACATGCAGGGGCAATGATGGAGGACTCTACGAAAACGTCACGTTCCGACCAGGCCCAAGACACCATTTCTCTAAGCGAGGGCCTCCTGCCAATCATCATCACTGGAGCCAGGCCTGAAAACTAAGGTGTTCGGGATGAGGTGGTTTTCCTGGAAGGGGCAGTGTATTTTTACAAGCAAGAGACACTGAAGCATCCGCTTAATTCCAAAGGGCCCATATAATTTCCAGAACAACTAAGAGATATCACACAAAGGGGAAAATGGCTCAAACTAGGGTTTTAAAATGACTTGCATTCATTTTTTTTTTTGATGAAGCTGTATGAATTCTGGGATGGTCTAGCAAATGTTCAAGGCTTTATTTATCATTCTTCAACAGAGCTGATGAAACTAATCTGCCTTTGCAATTGGCATACCAATTTCTTATGTAAGAATGTGGGCAGGGTCCGTGACATATCAAGCAGTTTTAAGTGTGTGTTATGAAAATAGTTTCAGATGAATCTTTTCTTTGGCAGAATTAGGCAGAAACTGATAGAGACGTTTAACCAGTTTATACCAGTCAGACTCATTCATCTCCACCACAGATCCTACTACATCCTGTGTAGGGGAAATTCTCAAAAACTCCATGTGATAAATCCATTTGTGCATAAGCTGGCGTTTAGCTTCCACGTCTCCTCTCTCCAGAGGGGGAGCCGCTAAGACCAGGAGCCCTGCCTAGTCCTTCCCTGACAGTAGAGCCCCGCTCTCCCTAGGGCCGGAGATAAGACTGCCACGGTAGTCAGGAGGAAGTGAAAGATCGTAGCCCAGCCTTTGGCGCAGAGATCTGCTTGGTTCTTGATAGCCCTCCTCCTTCCCCACTCATGCGATTAGCTTAGGGGAGGCCATCAACGGACGCCTGAAGTGCCACGCTCTACACCTGCCTGGACCCCTTATCGCTGGGTACTTCTAATATCACTGCGCTTTTTCCTGCCGAGCCCAAAGGCAGCGTCTGAACATCGACACAGAACTCCAAGACCTGTGAACAAATCACCCAAAAGTTCACAGGAGATGAAATCTCTGGGCCACATCCTGGACGTCAGTCCCAGGCTAGCCCTGTGGACAACCATCTCTGATGCAGTTGACCTACAGTTCAGAGTCTACCTATGGAACATCCTGCTTGCTGTGATTTGGAACACACATGTGTCTCATATGCAGTTCTACTACTCCTCTCTCCTCTGGAGACTGTACCTTGGGCCTGTCCGCAGCAGATCTGCCCTACACCTGCCTTGCTTTATCCCAACCCTACAGGTAGGTTTTAAGCACAGGCCCTCACCTCTCTCTGTCTGCACCTTCCGAGTGCAACCAACGAACCCCGGCCATGGAACACCTGAAAAAGCACAAATTCACTCTCCACTGCATGGCACTGACAACTGGGTCCCTGTGCCTGCTCACGTGCAGATAAACGTGGTGGCTCACATGAGCCTAGGAGGTTTTCTTTACGCTCTAGGCATCCATTAAAATTACAAGTAACACCTTTTACTGGTCCTGAAACTTCATTTGCAGGATCTTAATCACTATTCTAAATGACCCGCTTCTAACCAGTATATATAGCAAAGTAAGGTTGTTTAGACTTTCCACGGTAGAAGAAAAGTACATCAGTTTAAATTAAATCCACTGCTAACATGGTCTACGTTTCCTGCTTTGTTAAATGGCTAATTGAATGCCGGCCTGCTTTCAAAGAAGTGTCTGGCTTGCTCTAACTTGCTGCAGTGAACACCCTGGTTTCATACTGCTTGCATTATTGAAAATGTTTATTTTGACAGGCATTTCTCAGCATACCTGCTTCCAAAAAACACATTCCCAAATACTTTAAATTATATAGTAATTATAAATCCCCTACTTTCTAAATATTAGAAAGACAAACAAAAATGTCAACAACTAAAATGAGCTCCATAATTTATGCACAACTAGAAGCATAAAAGGTGAAAGGAACAGAAAGCTCCCCCAACAAGCATCGTCTAAAACCAAGAGCATTTAAAATCGGCAAATACTGAAATATGGATAGCATTTACCATAGATGCAACCATTCAGCTATTTTTTCTTTAAGCACAAGAACACGTGTTATTATGGATCTCAATTCTACAAGAAACTTAACGTTATTTCAGATGACGTTTTACAGGCTCTAAAAACCACACAATGAGAGAATTTTGAATGTTCAAAGGGCATTCATTACCTGGTGCAGGCTGTCGTTCGTTCCATTCTGTTGAGATTAAAATTTCTACAACTTTGATGAGGTGTTCAGTATTCTCAGAGCTATAAAAAAAAGAGAGAGAGAGCGCTCTATTAGAAATGTTTTCCCTAAACAACAAGCTCACTTTCATTTACACACATTCCAGTGTAAATATGTACATGCACCGGGGAACTAGTTATCTTCAGAATAAGTGTAACAGCCAGTCAGCCTAGGACTACCCTCATCACTCAAACATACGTGTTTCTCTTTTTCACTTACCTGGCTGCTGGGAACCTGAAAAGCAGAGGGCTGAAAAGTTCAGAGAGCACTCTTGCAGTCAGAAGGTTTTTGCTGGAGCTTTGGGAGAGCTTGAAGAAATGTTTTAGCAAATACTGAAGCGTAAGCCAATACTGATGAGGTATGTTAGGTGACCTAATGAGCTTCTTCAACAGCTGGATGTATTCTTCAGAGCTTTGAACTTCTGCAAGTTTAAAAAAAAAGCAACAAGAAAAAAATAATAAGAGACTTTCTAAGTATCACTGAATAAACACCTAGAAAAATTCTGTTCTAGCTATTGAAAAAAGAGTCATTTAAAACAAAGTCATCAGAAGAGGCAGACAGACCATTTGTTCTTCTCATTAGAAAAAGCATTGTGAGAAGTAGAAATCTCAAGTCAAATGGAAATGTAAGAAGCTCTTGGTGTTAAAAAAAACCACAAAAGGTTCAGGGTGTTCTGGTAGAACTCTGCCCTCTGTGAAGCAGCTGCAAGCGTGATTGGCTGATTTGGAGGAACATCAGATAAATATCACAGGTTTTAACTTTGAAGGTTACAAACCACAATTTCCTGTCCCCAAAGCACTTTAACTGAGCATTAGCTCCTAAAACTGAGAGTCCTTTTCCCTCAACACTTCTGTAATGGCCACTTGAAGATAATAAGATGATAAGAACATCCCCAGTCACTGCATATTAGTCCCCATCCCCCAGACCCAAGGATGCTACTTGAACACCGTGGCCTTCACTGATGTAATGAGCTTTGTTAATACTGGTAAAAGTTAACAATTAGCCACTTCAACATGTGGACAGTCTGCCTAAGCAAATGAGAATCTGGGTCTTCTATCGCAGCCGTCACCAACATTTTTTGCCCTAGGGACCCGTTTCGTGGAAGACCATTTTTCCATAGACCAAGGTTGGGGAGGGGGAGACAGGAGGTGGAGGCCAGGCCTGAGAGACCGATGGGAGTTCAGGCGGTCATGCAATGGAGGGGGGCAGGGGAGGTTGGGAACCCTTGTTCTATTGGATGCTAATGGAGGGAAGCTGAGCTGATGGGGGCGTGGGGTAGAGTTGTGGGGGAGGGTTCCAGGGTAGGTGGGTGAGGGGGGAGGAAATATTCCTAGTATTTCATAAGAACTATCTCTTCCTATGAAGATGTTACAAGCACATCCACATTTCAGTTCATGTTCAATGAGGTTCTCAGAAGAGAAAACAAACCTTGGGCTAAAGAAATCATTTCATTGTAAACAGCTATTGGAATGACAGGATTCGGAAGGTCCAAGAGATAGCGTTTGAAAGCGTCTGCTAAAACTTGAACATCAACTGTTTCCAAGTCCACGGAGGCGGCATCTATGATAGAAACATTTAAAAAAAATACTTCAGACATTTCATACATTGGTTGGGCCAATTTTCTGAATATTTGACTTAAGTATGACATATAAAAGAAGCAATGAAGACCAATGTGAGTTTCTCACAGGGGTGGCTCCTGGAATTTCAAACAGAACTTTTCTTTGCATAGGTCTGTCCCCACACACTAAGCATGTAGCATGACGGCCCTTGCCCATGATGCCAGGAGCATATTCCCAGACTTTGGGGCAACGAAAAGGTACTGTGCCCCGCAATTCAAATGTTGAAGTCCTCAATCTTAGTAGGACCTCACAATGTGACTATATTTTGAGACAGGGTCTTTACGGAGGCTTGCAGTTAAAATGAGTCCATTACAGCGGGCCTTGGTCCAATCTGACTGGTGGCCTTATAAAAGAGGAAATTTAGACACACAAAAGGGCATGAAGGGTGCATGCAGAGAGGAAACGCCATGTGAGGACACAGTGAGAAGGCAGCCGTCTGTAAGCCAACGGGAGAGGTCTCAGAAGAAACCAAACCTGCCTTGATCTGGGACTTCTAGCCTGAAGAACTGTAAAAAAATAGGATGCTATTTTTTAAGCCACCCAGTCTGTGCAATTTTGTTATGCAGCCTTAGCAGACTAATGTAATCCCCAAAAACATTTCCAAATACCTTTTGGAGGGTGGCCTTACCCTGACTGAGAGGGCTTCTGCCTAGGGATGGCTAATCATATAGTAAATGCTTCCTAAAACCTCAACAAGAAAACATAAAATGCAAATCCACAGAATTCCAAAACTTTGAGTTGCTAAATACTTTATCTCAGAATATAAATTTAACTCAACAGAGTGCCTGATTAGACAGTAAGATATTATAGAATGCTACCAATCTCAAGAATATCCATGAAAATAATTTGAGCATCTTTAGAACATTCCCCCCTAATTCTGACAGAGCCTTATGATTAGGGTATTACTAATCTAACCAGTAGGCTCTATACTATCTCAGAAGAACAACAAGACGAGCATGTCTGTCCAGCAAACCCTTCAGATGGAAAATAGGTCAGGCCACCCCATAATGGGGTGATACGGATCAAAGTCACTCTCTCAGGGCTTGAGACAGAAGAGGCACAGGGCCCAGCAGAAAGAAGGGAAACTGGAGGCACAGGAATGGGCATCTAGAAACAAGAGGCATTTGGCTGCTGCTGATGGATGTACCCTAGTGACATGAAGGGTCACTTGAAAATTATCTGGAGACTCAATGGAGAAAAGGTGAGCTGATGTGCAAAATGCTACATTTTTAAACAAGGCATTATTAATTGTGGTGGTAAAAATAAGTGGAAAATCAGAGCGGTCGGAAGTGAAGATAACACTTATGTTCATTTGAATTTCTGATACAGCTAGAAACGTGTGAGACATTAGCAAGAACTAACATCATGTAGTGACTGATTGGAAGGGGCTGGGACCTAGGAGAGAATGAGAAGGAATCAGAGTTTATTGCAAGGTGTTAGAGCATGAGTAGGAGAAGATGGTACTCTGCACACCACGAAACAAGTGTAATGTCATAAATCACTCCAGGTTGAGTCTGAAGCTACAAAAGTTCCTTGGCCACATCCTTATCGTAATCCAAACTTGCCCAACTAACTAGGCAGATTTTTTAAAAGGAAAATTACACAACCCCATATAGCTCAGAAAAGTTCACCTCACAGAAAATGTTGATAGGTTGGTTTGACTAAAAGAATTATTAAACTCAAAAGGTAGAGAGTCAAATGAGAGACATCACATCTCTAACAAGCATGGAAAAGGTATACTAGGTCTTTGCATAAAGGATCCACCTCAGAAGTAATGCAACTACTTACATTGGACTGTCAAGCAAAACTGGGTGTGCATCACTGTAAGAACATCCCAGAGTCACTGGCTATGGGGCAAGCTGCTGCCCTCCCCCTCATACTTCGCCCCGTCAGCTTCATTTACTATGTCTCTTTGCCAGCAAATTAATATTACTTAATTTGTTCATCCTTAAAAATGTGATAAACCCATGGGTGGTGTGGTATAAACATGAAGACAGTCAATGCTCCACATGGCTGTCCATGAGGCAGGGTTTCTGCCACCTCCTCTGTGCAAGCGCAGTACTGATGAGCTGCATCTCTGTCAGGACGCTCCAGGGACAGCATGCTAATGATGTGTCTCCCTACCATACTGAGAGTCCCTCAAGGGCAGGGGCTTCGGCTCTTGCCTGCTCCTCTGGCTTTCCCCAGGGCCCAGCCCAGCACACAGAATGTGCCTCCTCAATGGACCAAACTATAAAAAGTCCTTAGAGTAGGGCTTTGGTGAATTTACATTACTCTAATACATGAGGTGCATCCCAAAGAGGCCTTAGAGTGTTTGAATGAAACAGCCTTATTTCTAGTCTTTGGGTAAGTCTTTGCATGAGCTCACCTTATGTCAAATTCCGCTAGAGTTCTTGACATACGATGTTCCATTTATTTTTTACCGTAACTTCTAAAGCTTCTTAGAGCTTCTGATTTCTGTCTTTTTTGCAGTAAAGCTCTTCCAAGAGTGATCCGTGACTTTTGAAGCTAGCTAGGTGAGAGCTTTTACAGGTCTAGGTCGGGGGAGTTTACATCCTCTTCTACCTGACTTTATATTGAGTCTACTCATGACAGGTAACCAGTAAACTCTCCAGCGCTTCCCCCCTCCTTCAACTGGAATGGCATCCCCTCCTCAGCTGACCTCTAGCTATGTTAGCAGTTCTCAATTTTGCTGGCAATGTCTGGAAACTTTTTTTTTGTCACAACTGGGGGGACAATGGCATCTACTGGGTAGAGGCCAGGGATGCTGCTAACCATCCTATCTTGCGTAGGACAGCCCTCTACACCAAAGACTTATCCACCCTAAAATGTCAAGAGTGCTAAGGCTGAAAAGGCCTGATTTTTAAACACTGAAATATAACTGACATAAAACATTCTATTAGTTTCAGATGTACCACAAAAGGATTCATTTTTGTGTATACTGTGAAATGATTGTCACAGTAAGCCTCGTTAACACATTTCTCTCTCTTTCTCTCTCTCTTTTTTTTTTTTTTTTTTGATGCAAACTTTTAAAGATAAAGCCTGATTCAGGTTAAGGAAAACCAAAATAGGAAAAAATTCATACCATTAAAATTCAAATGAGACAAGAAGTAAATAATTCATGTCAGGGCAATATAGTGGGGGAAAAAACCTAAGGACTTTTGGGGTTAGAACAATTTGGGTGTAAGTCAGAGCTCCAGCCATCAGTAGTAATTAACACTTACATCACAAGGTTCAAGTGTCAATGAAGTAAAAGAACTTAGTAGGTGGTAATCAAAGTGGGTTGTTGTCTTCCTGTCTGTCCTTTTCAGACACTGGTAACCATCCACAGGGCTGGTTAAAAGGATAGGTTTCTTCGTTTTGTTACGTGTAAGTGACTCATCTGTGATCTTCCAGGATACAACAATATTTTTATGAATTGAAAAATCCTCAAGCTGGAAACAGCTCTGGTGGACCAACTCCTATACTTAGATAATGTTTACTCTTTTTTTGCCACAAAATTCACTTTTATAGTGTAGTGCAGAATCCAAATGAGACCAGTGTTCTATGCGTGTGTTTTGGTCTCAAACGGGGAAGGAAATCGGTCTGTCAAAATATATTGTTGACGCGAATTTGGTTATTTATTCCATCTCACAAGTGGTGTAAAGATTTTTTTTTTTCTAAGCTAAACTGCATCATTTGTGTTTGGTCACATTTAAAAACTCAACCACTGTTTCTCAAATAACTCCCATTTCATCGGTCTCTGATGTCTAAACATTTCCTGTGACATGTTCAACTTGACCGATTTTCTGACCAAAACATGTACCACTATTTCAATTGGCTAAAAACAAAATTCAGTGTTTCCTTAACACCCTAGTAAAGCTGCTAAGAATAAAGAAAACCATGTCTTTCACCTAGAATTTTATGCCAATCAACTTCTAACGATCTACCCTGTGGGTAAGGAAGGAGATACAGGAGCAAAGAGCATATACCCTATACGAGGGGAAGACTGATTTCCATGTACAAAGGAAAAAAATAAAAGTTAAAAAAAATTCTTTTTAAGCTTCAAACATACGGGTGGAGCATTTCAAGTGAAACTATTTACTGATAAAGATCTAATCTCCTTCTTGTTCCCCAGAAACATCTTTTCTAAAAATTTTCATAAGCTGCCTCATGTCAAAGCTGCCTCACACTTCAAATTTTCATTTGTTAACTATCGGGTGGACCTTCTTTGCACACATGGCTGAAAGAGCTTCTTCCAAAACTGGGTTTCACTTTTTCATTCAAACATCCATCAGTTAAAATAATGTGAGGCATAAAATTATTTTTCTAAAAAAGAAAACTGTTGGAAGGGAATGAAGGATCAAAGATATTCTAGAAGTTGACAAAAAAGATGACTTGCCAGAATGATGGCAAGTGAATTTACTCACATTTGTTCAGTTTTATTCTGATAGCAAAGGAGGGAAAGGACAAATAATAAAATTGCCGCTTGGCTGGATAAATTGATTTCATTTACCCACTGGTATGCAGGAGCTGGGTTGCACCCACTTACAAAGGCCACTGGAACTGTGCCCAATCTGCCCAAGTTGGAGTTCAGTGATAACAAGGGAGCTCAAATTGATCATGGTGAGAATATTTAACCATGGAAATGGGCAAATGCAATAAACCAGGGCTTTTTTCTTCCCTCAGAGTTGGCACCAGTACACCATGGAATATAACAGTATCATAATGTTAATGTAAATATGGCAAGAAAAAGCAAACAAAGAAGGAAGACAGAATGAATGGAAAGGGAAAAGAAAAGGAAAAGGAGGGAAAGGGAAAAGGTCAAAAGAGACAACTGTTAAATGACGCAGACTTATATTTTTTAAACTGATCCAGATGAATTCGATGTAGCCAACTGTAGGGTCAGAGAAAGACAGTCGATGTGCAGAGCCAAAGAAATCCCAAGGGGCTGTTTCTCTCCTCTGCAACTCCAGCGGGACCCAGAGGCTCCCGGCTGCGATAACGACCAACATGTCTACAGGCTGGCATGCACACACACCCCAGCACAGGAGACAAACATCAAAGGTCTGCACTGTTACCATAATAGGGCAGAGGGAACTATGCTTGATTTCTGGGCTCCTTTCAAACTTAGAACGTTGCATTAGTTAGTTTTAAGTTCGAGTGTTTTGTGCTTTACCCGAAACAGAAAGGTAACAACTGTCTTTGTCATTTGTATCTGTAGTTCCAAGACACTCACCACACTCAAGAAGCTGTCGGAATTCTGCTGGGTTGCTGGAGCTCTGTGTTCTGTATAGAGTTGAACATTCCAGACCTAGGACACAAAACAGAGCGAGTATGCAAAACACAGCTCTCTGGAGGACCTGTGAGCTGGCTGCCAGAAAGACATTCCAGTTTCCATCCAGTATCTATTCTAGATGTGTACCAAATATTCTTGGAAGTCAACTCCTACTATTAATCTTATCTGGCATGTCAATAATTTTGGCAAAATCTTCTGGCCACTAAGGAACAAGTTAATTATATTTATTAAATTATGGAGAACTTAATAGTTTCCATACAGGAAAATGTTAATATGGAGTTAGAAATCAGACCAAGATTATGTCCCCTGTACACAGCAACAAATCGCTTGTGGGTCTAGAGCAGGTATTTAATGAGTGCCCAAAAGACAAATATAAATTATAACACCTTTGAAACAAGGTTTATAACAAGTTTGCTCATTCCCTCAACCCCTTGGATTACCTTTCTTTTCAATGGCTTCTACTAGCTTGATGAGAAGAGGTGGCGCGATGTCAGGAGGGGCAAACTGTTCTGCAAGATCCGGAAGGGTCAAAGCTGCAAATAAAGAAAATCCAATGATTACGTTTAATTTGGAGCAATCCAATGCATCAAACAACAATGAAGAAAATTTAAATACAAAATAATTTAGTTCTCTCTAACAAAAACAAACTCAGGCCCCAGCAAGGGAGAGCCCTGTGCCGGGCCCCACGCTTCAGAAGGCTCTTCTCTGGGCCTCTTCTCATGGCGTTGTGAGTTTGGGGGGCCAAGGAGACATGGCCTCCTCTCCTAGGACACTCTCAGGATACCCACCCCGAATCCCAAAATTCCTTGCCCCGATGGCTTCTCAGGGCCTCTTCCCCAGGCCCATCCTCCCCCCAGGGCAGACCTTCCTGCTGGGGAGCCCCTCGGGCCTGAGGGGCTCAGGATGGAATGGAGTTAGGATGTGCAAAGGTTCCTGAAAAGCCATGCTCTGGGGCAGAACCTGAAGCCCAAGAAATCTAAATTCAATTCTGGCCTCCTGGTCATTATAAAGAAGTAACTGTCCAGGCAGGAGGAAAGAACTGTTTGAATTTTGTCAAACAGCTTGTTAACGTGATTTATAACTTTAAAATATTCAGACACAGGAAATATGGGCATCCTTTTGCACTCTTGTCCCAAGCCCCACAAATGTCAGGGGCAGGGACCAATATCAGACCCAGAAGCCGGTACACATGATCACCGGCCACATGACCTTCAAGTTAAGCCCCCAGGTGCCTGTTGTCGAAGCCTTTGTTTGCTTACATTATTTTGGTCAGTTAATATCTTCAGAAATGTGATGCTTTCATACAGTCATTTTTCTATGCTCTATTTACATGGTTTAGTAATTATAATGATTCAGAAGAAGAAGAAATCTAATTCGATGACACAAATGTCCTTCAACATTACGTCAATAACTGTATTCTCATTCCAAAAACATGAAGCCATTTTAAAGTTTTCTCATATTAAACCAGAAGAGGGAGCTAAATATATTTACCTCAAATTTCTCAAACTGCAAAATATCGGTAAAACGATAGTGTTTATGAAAGTACCTACATGTGCGCCACCTGTTTATTAGCCATCAATTAATAACTTTTTAAATACTTATGGTTCATCACTGTGTACTTTTATCTAGAAATAGTTTATACATTCTAAGAAAGACTAAATATTTGCAATTTTGTTTCAATGAGATTTTAGGTGTGTGATTATTATAAGCCATACATCATGTTAAGTAAATTGTTAATGGGGGTCATCTTTCTAATATTAATACTCTGTATAGGACAATGGATTTATGACATAAAAGTAAAATAAAATTATGTTATTAAATTCTGACCTCAGAGAATTACTGCCCTTATTTTGCAAACCCTATCCCCATGGTCTAAGACCCTTTTAGATCACACTATGTCCTGTGATAGACAACACATGACCTTGCCACATATTTCTATTATCCGTTGCCTCTATGCAGGATAAAAGAAGAAAAGCTAAATCATGGAAGAAAATGCTAGGGCAGCACCATCTAGTAGAATGTACTGTTATGATGGGAATGCTCTCATAGCTGTGGTAGTCAATAAAGCCTATGTGGCTACTGAGCACTTGAAATGTAGCTATTGGGACTGAGAAACTGAATTTTTAATTTTTATTGATTCAAACTGAAATGGCTGTATGTGGCTGGTGACCATAGTACTGGAAAGCACAGTCCTGGTGACCATAGTACTGGAAAGCCTGAGCAAGGGCAAATTTTGTCAATAGCAGGTGAAAGGTTCCTAAGTTGGCTTTGTGCTAGAGACCCCATCGAAAAGCCATCCCTGAGGACACGGCATCTGGACATAGGGCGGATGGACACCTGTACTCTGGGCTATCACTCCATTTCCTGGGTGAGGCTGTGCTACTGGAACACATTTTGGACTTCAGAAAGGCAGCACAGCTATGCCAGTGACTTTCCAGTCACTATGCAGAGAGTTGAGTGAGAACTTTCTCTCTCCTGTGTTTCCTTTGTCTGCCTGAGCCTATGGAGCGCCTGGAGAATTTGTTAGGAAGTCAAAGTACTACCACAAACCCCTGGAATTGGATTATCCAGGAATGGAGCTGGTAATCTGGTTTGGGTTAGTAGTAAGTCTTAGGGTGCGTTGTTATGACAAGCAAGTTCACATGGGCGACTCCCTGAAAAAATCCAGCAATGACATCCCCAAATCTCTAATTGTTAAAATGTGAGTACATCTGAAAAGCACTTAAAATATAAATGTCTTGAAAGTTTCATAAGGACTTTTTAATTTAAAACATTGCAAAATTAAAAAAGAAATACTATAAAATGGAAGGGCACACCATTTCATTTCCTCTAACTATAAACTACTTCCCCTTGCCTTCAAAGAGGATCAGCTCACAAAAAGATCCTCCCCCGTAAATGCCTTCTCCACTGAACAGGATGAAACATCATCCTATCAGCATATGCAACAGAAGGAAAGCATAAAGGTAGAGAAATGATGTACAGAAATGTTATTAATTAGGATTCACTGTAGTGCCTTTTCTTAGCCCTCTCAAACTTACAGGTCTGAGCTCACGCCAAGATGCAGAAAGTTAAAGATTAAATCGTAAATACACGAATCGACATATCCACCCAACACTCATCCAATTAACTAGCCCCGTTCTACTTCTCTTCCCTCATATATTACACAAGCATTATGCTTTTTAAATTAAAAAAACAAATCTCTGAAGTTGGCAACTGAAAATGGAATTACTTAATAAAGGTTTATCTCCTTCCAGAATCTTATCAAAACAATCATTTCTGCAGGCAAATATGAATGTTAAATTAAGTGATAATTAAAGATTTCACCTCATTGCGACTGGAATATACACCCAACAGCTGTTACATTACTGAGTTGGCAAATACTACATATAAAAGTGTGTCTGTCTTTGTATTGTATTTCTTCACTTCAGTCTGAAGGGGGAAAAAAGGCAAAAACCTTCTTTCCTTAGTTCTTTCAATGATTCCTTGCCAAAAAAATAAAAAATAAATAAATGGTAGTTTACTTTCAGTATCCTGAGTTACAAAATATCATTTGTTTCACTCATACAAGTGTTACATGAGTTTTAAACACCATGACAGCAATCAGGTATCTAGAAGTTTTCTCAGAGTGCACACCAGAATACTTCAAAAAGAACAGAAATTAGATGTCTATAGTAGGAAGTACAGGTACTCCTTCTGAAATATACTGAATGTCCCTCTAAATTCTTAATATTGAAAAAAGCTTTATTACCTAAATCTATGAATCATCACAGCTGGTCGAGTTTTTGCAATGGGAGTTTTAAAACGTAAACTTTACAAGGAAAGATGATTTTTAAAAATAACAATGCAAGGATTTCCTATTCTGTGATTCAATCCATTTCCCCTTTAAAATATTTAAAGATAGGGAAAGTGGCAGCTTACCCAGAAACCTTTGAAGTTCACATCTTTTATTTCAGGCAACAGGATCAATTAACACCAAAAGTCAAAAAAGGATTCTGAACCACAATATTAATTATTTCAACAATCCTAAAATCAACTATTCCTTTAATTATATTACATATGCAAGGTCATTATTTACTTTTCCATGAGATCTCATTTTAAGAAATTCCAACAGGAAATGACAATTGCGAGGAATTACCAAATTTGGTAAGTTCTTTAAAAAGTCCATGATAAAGCCCCACATCATACAGTTCAATAAACCAAAACATAATGGAACTAAAAAAAATATACAAACTATATGGATCATATACAGAAATTAGTATGATCCTCACAAAGTTTGCATATAAATTCTCATTCCATTTCATCCTCCAGACAGATTTTTATACCTTAATGAGGAATGTTTTTTAGTTGTGAATCCTGTGGTAGCCGGTGTATAAATCTGGAGAGCGAAGTCCACTCTTAAGAATCTGGTGAGTGCAGGTTCCTATACTATAATCCAATACCAGTTTTTCACTTAGCTGAATCATTTTTTTCATCAGAAGAAATCAGTGTTACTTAAGGAGAAAGAAGACAAAAAAAGAACAGCAGAAGGGTCTGAAAGTGGCGAAGCCAAGACGTATTGTGTCCTTAGGAGAGAGGAATTAGTCTTCGACACTTAACTAGGTGCCCCAGGTTGTAGAAAGAATTTTTGATGACACATCAGATTCGGCGTTTTCCACTAGTTCTATTTTTCCCCTCTTTGCCCTAGTGACAACCAATCACACAGAACAGAAGGGAGCCTTCTCTCCAAACTCAGGCCCTTCCCAAACCACTAACACGGACAGGCCTGAACAGTCCTTGGGCACCAGCAGTGTGTGGGAGACAGTGGCATTCCTCGCGTTAAGTGGTGCCAACACCGCTACAAAGTGCAAGATGAAACCAGCACACAGCCGCACCTTTTGGAGGCGTTCTCTATAAAAAAAGATATTTTAGACTTAGTGCCTGGCAGGGACGAATGGAAAGTTTAGGCCGAAATTCTGGGACTCCAGAGACTGCTCAAGCCAAGTATTTCATTACTGATGGAAACGACTTGGAAGTGTATGAAAAACTGCCACTTAGTTTTGAAAATCTAATACAAATACACAGAAAAGAAGGTGAATATGCAAAGTGTGGATCAATATTAAGTCAAGATGTTTATCTAATTACTGTTGTTGAATCCAAACCTGATTTCTATCTGAAACAGTCTCTCATTATTTCAAATTAAAAAAGGTACATTCTGGTGGGCAAGAATTACTTTCCTTAAACATTTTAAGCACATTTATATGCATATAATGGTTATATGCATAAAATGGTTAACACCATGAACATTTAAACTTCTTAAACTCTAGGGGCAAAGCCCTAACAAATGCTAAGATACTACAGCTAAAAAAAAAATTAAGCAAAGCAAAAAAACAATTATGGGCTCCTTAATTTTGGAGCATACCTGTTTAACCAGCAGTACAGAAATTATGAAAAGCACAGGTTTAAAGCCAAAGAGACCTGGGTTTTACTCATGGTTTTGTCACTTACTGAATGTCATCTTGGACATAATTAACTTGAACCCCAGTTTCTTCATCTG